TCGAATTTGATAGTCAGAGTGGCAATGTCGATGCATCCGGGGATTGTAAATGATATACATCAACCAGCAATTAACCGCCACGATGGTCAGCGAGGTGCACAGCTGTACAGTATTCATTGTCTAAATTGTCTAAAAGACAAAAAATAGTTCCAGCAGATTGCATTGAAGCCAGGTGAGCAGACAATGACAAGACATGTAGAGTACAGTACCTGATGTAGTGGATTAGTTCAATGAATGTTGAAGATCAATGCACATGAATTTCCGTCTCTGGAGTCTGAAGAGTCCTAGTCGCGTGCTGCTTGCTTGCATCATGCATGTTCAAGTTCGAACGATGACATCGATAGGGCTGCGTAAGAAACATAGGTTTCTGACCACCTCACGTGACTTTGAGGTTTTAAACCGTTTCATACCTGTTTCATACCAATGCCCATCCGAGCCCAGATATACCATAATATACATATGACACGTGCAGCTAAATTTCATAAATTTTATTCATTTTTAATCTCATCGCCGACTCAATCAATTCCAACATGTCTACAGACATAATAGACATACAGGACAGCCCATCCCTTGCAGATCGAGCGCCAGTTCCCGAACCTATCTTAGCATTGCTCCCCCCTCCAACTCTACGCGTAACTGATATTCTCAGTTTTCCATTACCTGTATCCGAAGGTGAACTCGAACCATTAATGTCCAATAAAAATGTCTTTTCCACACTTCCGAGTACACTGACAGTTGACATTGCTCTAAAGTTAATCCCGACACTTCATATTCCTGCTCATTTCGACCTCATGGACCTTCTCTGCTCCGCTCCACATGCACTTGAGGAAGGAAATCAATCCTTTCTATACCAGGGAACAACGAGCGCATCAAATGATGTTCGAGAAATATATCTGCCATTCTGGGTACTCACTTTCTGGGAAACAGCTGCAAAGCTTACACATTCCCATTGTGCATGGAGATATGCTCTGGAATAGCTTCAAGGACGAGACAGCTTGGCAGGTTCAGCTCAGGGCACATTATTTGTCATGCCGCAGGTCCTGTTAGGGAGCATACCATGGGAGTCAGTGCTCTCGTGGGAGTAGGGTGGTGGTGAAATCACCTCGCTCAGTTCGTTCCTGAGCCAGCAATGGCTGAACAATGAAAATATTACCCAGCTCGCAGTGGTGTTGACTAGAGAGCTTGAGGAAGAACAGAACCATGAGACGGCTTAAAAGCGAAAAGAGGCTGATATTGAGGAAGAGATGGGGGAGGAGGATGATGTAGAGGAAGAGGAGGTGGATTTCCGCTTGCTCGTGGATTTACCTGAGCTGAAGAAGGATAGTAAAAAGGGTGGTTGACCCCCGGATCCCTTGATGAACAAGCTCCTCCAGCGCTGCGCAAAGAAATCCAGGCCAGCTAAACAACTCTGGCAATGTAAAGGGGAGAAGTGCGGGTTTACCTTTGCGGGTTGTGCAAAGGGACGCGTTACACGTCATGCCAAAGACTGTACGAAGTTGCCAAAGAATCTTCGTGATGAAGCTGCAGTGTTCAAACGAAAGACAGCTCCATCGGTCTTGGTTCACGACGCTGATAAACAGGCTGCGAAACGTCAAAAATTTAGTGATGCAGTCGAGAAGGAAAAACCTCAGGTCAACTCAAAAACACCTTTCAAAATCTCATCAGCATCAACAAAATACTTCACCGGAGCTAAAGAAAAGGGATGTACTCAGAGGCATGCACATCTAGCTCTTGCCATCACAAAACTCTTCTGCGTCGCCGGACTTCCTATGCATCTCATCTCCAGAGATGAATTCATTGAAATACTGAATGCTGCCGATCACTCATACCATGTCCCCAGCCGCAAAAAACTTGAAACCAATTTTATTCCAGCAGAACAAGAGGAAGTGAAGAGAAAGCAGATGGAGCATCTGCGGGAGGCCAATAACTTGACATCATCGTTTGACAGTGGTACATTGAGAGGTCGGGAAGCATTTTGGACATTTCACGCGTCCATTCCTGAGAAATCGAGAGCGTATCTGGTTGAAGCAAAAGAAGCAACGGGTGATTCTCACACAGCTGAATGGATCAAAGCGTTGGTCATCGCGGTGAGCACGGACTTCCTCTTTGAGAATTGTATTGAATTCTCATCGCTCTTCAGATTATCCTTCAAATCAGCATTGAGAAATTCTGCGGGATAGTTAGTGACAGTACTGGGAATACACGTCTCGCTCGACAATTAATTATCTGCAAGTTCCCAACTATCATTGCCCTCCCTGATGTGCGTCATTTTCTTAGTCTTATTTGCAAGGAACTCGCAAAACTGGACTACTTTGAAAAGGTATTGTCTATTAATATTGAAGTATACAATCCTGATCTAGTTTATAGACTGTGAAAATTGTTCGAGGAACGATTGCATTTTTCCACAAATCACACCTTGGTATCAAGCAACTCGCAGATGCACTCAAATCAACCCGCGAAACTCGCGGACTCGAGGCAATCGGTAAAACATGCTTTTGTACTATTGTTCATGCATGTGCTTCAGTTCAGAGATGTGCACCAGCAATACAGAAGGTTGTCGAATTAGGAGATGTGAAATTTGAGGTTTGACATATGCAACTTGCTAATTCAACCCTTTTCTAATTGTTTTTTACTCAGACCAAAACTTCATTCCAGCCAGGAAGCAAGCTCTCTCGGCAGACCCAGGATTTCGCGTTCAAGAACTCCCAGCTTCTTGCACTTGGGCTTCCAATTGCAAAAGCAGTCCATTGCCTCGAATCAAATGACGCCAACGCAAACAACGTTTACCTACTTGTTCATGCGGTCATGCTCGAGATTGAGGAAGTTGTGAGGAATCCCAACAATGATTTTCCGCCGGAGACTCAAGAGGAGGTTCTGGGTCTTCTAAACCGACATTATGCACAGTTATTTGATCCCGCATCCCCGGGAAACATTGCTTCGAAAGCCTTCATTGCAGCTGCATTTCTGAACCCTAGTGTGTCGCATTTTTCTTGTTATATTCATTTTGCTCAAATCATTATTATTATTCAGATAATATTCAACGAGATGGCCATGTTTTCAGACAAGAAGATATTCGATACCTTCAGGAAGGCTTTGAAGGCATCGATCATCCAATGGTATTTAAAGAAGTTGCTCAGGAACTCTGCAAAATAGCAGAGAATGAAATCAAACATGGCACAAAACCTAAATTTACCAAGTTCAAGGGTCGTGCTTGGGAATTCAAGGACCAGCTTATTACGGAACTCAAATTATATGCTTGCCGACAGTTTCCTTTCAATATACCTCCAAAGGAGATGGATCCGCATGCTGTATTACGTGGTGGAAGGTTTTTGCTGGAAGCCAGCTCGCACAAGTTCTTCCGGTAAGTTTGTCTCATTTATCCAACTTATTACCTGACAATCTCCTATAGTTGCTTGCCGTCAAACTTTACTCACTATGGGTGAATTCAATGGCTGAAGAGCGTACTGTGTCTCGTTTTACTTGGCTTACACCGCCTGAGCGTAGCCGCATGAAAGTCACAACAATGACGGCAATTACACAGGTGGGACAGTTCTATCAAGCCGAGAAAAGGGTATGTATATCTACTATCTAGAGCTCCGAGCCAGTAACTGATCTTCTTTCTTAGTCAGCTCAAAAGCGAAACCCTAGTATACATTATCGCCATGTAAAGAACAAGTTTGTTGGTTCCATGTCACACCCTGAAACTCAACAACTTCTTCATGATGAGGAATCGGACAAGTGGTTGGACCAATCCATTGAGAAGGACATGGAAGAAGAGGGTTTGGATGGATTGATTGACAAGTCCCCTGCCTCTGAGCTCCTAGTTCAGCATGTCAATCGCATGTCATCTTGGCTTAGGAACATGCTTGCGGAGGACATTGTTGACATTGCAGATGATACTGGTATGAAAGTTGTTGAGAGTAGGGGTGCTTCTGGCATTCCTGATGATGACTTCAGCCTTTCTTTTTAACATCTATGTAGCTAACTATTGTTGTTTGTATACCTTTGAATACAGATACAGAATTTCGCCGCCGTAGGCGGCGGGGATTTTTCTGCTTTTTTCGGTACCACGTGACTGGTTTTAAACTTGTTTTAAACCACCCCCCTTCGGAGGCCCCAGGTATAGAACCAGGTTGAAAACTTCCGGAGGTTTCTTACGCAACCCTAGACATCGACGCTCGGAACGGTCACGTGGTGATTGACTTCTTCTTGAACTTCTCCTTGACGTTTATGATGGCATCCGGATCCCGACAGGAATCGTATATGTTATCTGAGGCTTCGAAGCGTATCCCGATTCCCAGCATTTGTGACAGTCTGTCATTCAGGCTCGCGATTTCCCACTCGCAATCAAATCTTTCGAACTTGCAAGAATCGCTATATATGGCTCTTTGGGTGCTACTACGATTTGAACGAATAGTGTCAACCGACTCAACAAATAAACAAAAACATCACCCTGAAATTTAAGCTTTGTCTCGATCGTGAGACCCGCAGATTGAAGAGCTAATGAAACTCATCCTCACAAGTCAGGTAATACTAATGGACAATGTAATGCGTTCTGGAGAAAGAGGAGGAGGTTTCCGACCTGTAAGCTTCGTAAATTACCAGCTGTATCAATGTCCTTGTATCGATCCCGCAGCTTCATCAAGAGGTGCTTGCTGCTCATTGTCAACTATTCGCCCAAGAACATAAAACTCTTGCTCTTGAAACAGAGCTCAAGGCCGCCCTTTAATGCTTAGCTGCCACCGAGAATGATGGTCAAGTAAAAGCACTGAAGATCGAAGAATTAGAGGAAAGGAAGACTTCACCAAGGAAGAACTTACGGAAAATGGAGAGAGAAAGTGCTTGAGGAAGTATCAAACGCGGGGGATTGGATTTGGCAATAGTAGTCCTTTATAAGCATTCTTTGAATTAATGTGAATCTATGTAGCTAAACTACACGGTCTTTTCGCAATAATAAGACAAAGTGGCAAAAATCAGTCGACTTTCGCGGTGAAAATCAATGCCTCCTACCAGACTTGAACTAGCGACCTTTCCATGCAATACCTATCAATATTGATGTACGAGTGGAACGCTCTACCTCTGAGCTAAGAAGGCTATGTTATCGGACCAAAAAATAATAATAACGCCTAAATTTTAATCCATCGGTTTTGTACATGAAAATCTTGGAGCAGTCATAATAACAGTTAACTAGTAGCTACGCTTCCACCGAATCCGAATCCATCTCCGAACAGCTTCCTTCTTGGACGTCGTTATCGAACTCGCTTTTGAGGGCACCTGTTTATCTGTGTAAGCGTCTTCCGGCATGTACTTATATACAAGAGTAAACGCACTACTGGAAGCAACCTTGGTCAAATTTCGTTCTGTCCGAACCAAGGAACACGCGAGCTTTCCTCTGCAACAAGCCTCGCAACGCTTCCTAGTCATCTCCGAGAAACATTCTTTCTTCTTGTTGATGCATCGATCACACTGGGGCGTATTTTTGACCGTCAAAGGCGGGCTGTCTCGGATCCCCAGACTCGTCAGACTGTGCTGCTTCAAGGAGGTCTGTGAACGCGTGCGTTTGACAGGCAGAGGTGCCCCATCTGAGGTTTTACGTTCTCGCTTTTTGGAAAAGGAGGAAGGCTGCGGCGGCATGGAATGCTTTCTGGGTATCTCGATCTCCACAGCTGCCAGGACACGTCTTTTGACCGACTTTTGCTTCATTTCCGGTATCACAAGAGTCTTCCTAGATCTAGCCATTTCGCCCTGGGGATAGTCAAACTTGACCTCGGCAGCTTCTAAGATTTGAGCCGCGCGCAATTCGCGCTCGTTTTTCTCGCGTTCCAAAGCAGCTTTGAGCCACTGTGGGTCTACCCACCTTCCTTCCCAGTTCGACGAGGCATGCAAGCGAATAAATCCGTCGCATTCCATAAGCGCGTTTTGAGTGCGGGTATCAATTTTTCGAGGATCCTTGTCGGGATGAAGGATGGAGACAACTTGGTCGTACCTCGCCTGAAATTAGGATAAATCTAACGGAGAAGAATATTTTCGAAGCATTAAACCGTACCCTGTGCTCCGCAAACTCCTTCGCCCAGCGTTCTAGGGGATACTCTCCATTTTCAACCAGGGTCCGAGTGGCTGCATGCTTGAGAAGAGCTAGACGGGCCCTATCGTAAGCAGAGTCGTTGAACGAGTGTTCCGTTTTGCCAGCCATGCGAACGATGACTGCAAAAAAGAGGGGCACCGAAAAAGAAGTCTAGAGTCTTCAACATTTATGAATTCAAATAAGCTTTCATCAACCAATACCACGGTTCAAGTTCAGCGGGTTTGTACAATTGAATCCTGATTTTCTGATAATCGATGCATCAATAGATGAGCGCTGAGCACTCTAAAGCTTCACTAGGTGAAGCGCTTGAACAAAGGGTCGACTCGGTCGAGTTGATTTCCGCCGATATTACTGCAGTTGCTTCAGAGTTTCTTCGAAGTACGTTCCGGAGGTTCACAAATGCTAACTAGTTTACGTATTTCTTAATGGTAGAGACCAGAGCCACAACTGGAGCGAGTGTGATGGTGGTAAGGAA